GTCATGTTGTGATGGTGTCCTGGTCATCTTGTGATGGTTTTCCCGTCATGTCATGTTGGTGTCCCGGTCACCTTGTGATGGTGTCCCGGTCATGTTGTGATTGTGTCCCAGTCATGTTGTGACGGTGTCCCAGTCATGTTGTGATGGTGTCTCGCTCATGTTGTGACGGTGTCCCGGTCATGTTTTGATGGTGTCCCGGTCATGTTGTGATGGTGTCCTGGTCATGTTTTGGCGGTGTGCCGGTTATGTTTTGATGGTGTCCGGGTCATGTGACGGTGTCCCGGTCATGTTGTGATAGTGTCCCGGTCATATTGTGATGGTGTCCCCGTCATGTCATGCTGGTGTCCCGGTCACCTTGTGATGGTGTCCCGGTTATGTTGTGATGGTGTCCTAATCATGTTGTGACGGTGTCTCGGTCATGTTGTGATGGTGTCCCCGTCATGTCATGCTGGTGTCCCGGTCACCTTGTGATGGTGTCCCGGTTATGTTGTGATGGTGTCCCAATCATGTTGTGACGGTGTCTCGGTCATGTTTTGATGGTGCCCTGGTCATTTTGTGATGGTGTCCCGGTTATATGATGATGGTGTCTAAGGAAGAGATGGTCGATGTGTTGAAAACAGCAGCTGTTTCTAGATTTTTCTTTTTGTCCCGGTTTGTATCTTGCTATTGGGGTCTCTAGCTGGGCTAATTTGAACAGTTGTTGATGTTATTCAAAAGGACTGGCAGACGAGTGACTCTCCAATGAGGCCGCTTCAGCCATCGCTCCTCGTCACGGCCCGGGACCCAAGACTCGGTGTCGACGTCGCCGCCCTGAGCGGATGGGTGAAACTTCTTACAGCATATGGATTAGCAGCTAATCGAGGCCTGGTTTGTACGTCAATCTGCTTCGAGGCCTGGTGCCAGAGCAATGGAGACACCTGCCCCGCTTCTGATGGCTGCCACATGCTTGGAATTCTTGCGCTGTTGATTTGATACTGGAGGTGACAAATCGTGCGTCCCAACTGTTTCAAAGCAGTTTGTCAAGTTTGCTGTGATAGTGCCCACTAGAATCACTGCATGGTGGACTGCCAGTGAGAAGATGCAACATCCTGTTAAACCAAATGGCTTGTTGTACACGCCGTTGGTGTGATGCGAAGATTCTAATGGTCCGGTCCAAGAATTGAAACACCTTTTCCAAACAAGGCCAGCTCCGACCAACCTTCTAAGTCAATGATTTCACCTGGCCACAAAAACCAACCAAAGACACCTTGACACCGGCAAGGATGCTATCAGGGGCTCCTGGCATCGCTACTAGGAGCAAAGGGTATCGCTACGAACGGAGCAAAAATGGGTCTTTCGGTTGACTGCCTCAGACAGCACCGCGGAGCCGAGGCGGCTGGCCCGGGCCCTGCGACGCTCTCCCGGGCCGACTCGCCGGAGACGCCGCCGGCCGCGCGCTGCCTGCGGAAGGACTCTTTGGGGTCGGGCATGGGGAGTGTGGGGAGCGTGTGCCTTGGCGTCTAAAGCAGTAATGCATGAACAAACCAATGGGGAACACAGAAATTAAAATCAAACCATCTGACCCTGCAACAAGAATCGAAAGGGACCTCAAGGCATCAGAAGGATTTGACATAGCACACTGAAGCAACGCATCTAATAGTTTGTTGGAGCAAAGGAAGCCTTTGCCAGCTTGAATGCTAGCAATCTTATTGAATCCGAATTCAGAAGGGTGGGTTGCAGTTGAAGGAAAACGATGCACACATTTAAGGAGTTTCAAACATAGATTTTGAACTGCATCGCTAAATGTTTCAAACTGAGTCACTGGAGAGCCAAGGTTCTTGGAAACTGTAAACAAGGTAGAATCGAGAACAACAACAATCGATGACTCATGACCGCTCTTTTCGTGTTGCACGGTCCTTTTACGTCTGCTCAAAAGATGTCGAAACCAAAAGTGCCACACCAAGCACATGAGCAGCAGGTCGACGAGCTCCTGGAAGCTACTGGGAAGGCCAGGGACCGTTGCAAACCAGGTGCCTCGCATTTCCTGCCAAGCCACGGCCTCAAGTGCTGTTCTTCCACCGAGGACACCTTCTGGCACACGGCATTAAACTTTGCGTCCTCACCGCACAAGGCGATGCGAGCTGGAGACTCGTCCGACCGCGCAGTCATCCCAAAGGGCTCTTCCATTCCACCTCGCAAGGGGCTGCAGCTAGGCCATCCGAGGCGGCTTTCGAGCTGCGCTTGCTCCTGCAGCCAGCACTTCTCACAGCAAATGAGGCTGTAACATAGGCACCGTTTGCTGTCACCATTGGTTGGAGGACTTGAACACAATCCTTGGGAAGCATCTGAGTGCAGGCGGAAGCATTCTTGGCAGCGATCTCGCTGTTCGTAGAACAGGCTTTGATTCTCTTGGCACATGCTTCACACCTGACACACACTCTTTTTGAAGTGCATCCATTTGTGCTCTTTCATGGGGATCCCCTGCGCCAAACGATTGAACGCGTCAATCCTGGACTTGATGTGGTTCCACTCTCGAAGCCCAAACCATGCACACACGAGCCTTAACATGGTCCGGAATGGCATTGATATGCTGTGGAACAGCACGATCATGCACATACCATAGGGTGTCACCCTCACACAGGACTGCAACGTGGAGTCCACTGTGCCTCTCCACACCCAAATGGGCTATCAGGCCACTTGCAACAAAGTTGCTCATCCCAGCAAGGCCGGTGGGTTGCTTCTGAGCATTGGATGAGCAGCTTCTATGAGTGGTTGGTCCTCTCCCGATTCAAAGGGTCTCGGCTAGATGCCGCTCCAACTTCTTCTGCTCAGTCGTGATGATTCCAGCGGAGCCTCAATCTGGCCATCTCTTCGGATTGAGCAGTTTTGCAAAACTCCTTTAAGCTCCAAAGGGCATCGCTACTAGGAGCAAAGGGCATCGCTACTAGGAGCAAGGACGCTACTAGGGGCTCCTGGCCGTACTGCTAGGAGCAAAGACGCTACTAGGAGCTTTTTGTATTGGTCCTTGGCCGAGTTGACTTTCTTCCGACTTGACATTTGTCGGAGTTCCCCAACCGTAGCTTTCAACTTCCCCGTTACATTAACAGGTCCAACAGGCCCTGTCCTGGCGGGTGTGACAAGGGCCTCAACCATCTGCTTCACCTCCTGGGGCAAGGCCTACCACTGAGTCTTCAGGACCTCTGGTGAAGTCAACACCAACCTGGGTCAAAGCATTCTTGACCTCATCACAGGAGTTGACCCAATTCTTCTGAACAAGATGGTCCACCAGTGGCAAGCCCTTGCCTGGCTTTTTCCACTCAAGCCTCGCCCTTCCTCAATCTGTGGTCCCCCTACATCTCCTCCTCAGTGAGCCCCACACTGCCTTTCTCCAAAGAATTTCAGGTTCAGGCTCTTCCAAGGTTGACCAAGGATCACAGCATGATCGCTGGGCTGAAATGCAGTCTGCCCAGATCCACGATCCCTTGACACCGGTGCCCGCTTGGTAAGCTCGTCATGAATGCAGTTTGGCAAAATTACCTGCAGACACCATGGTGCTCAACAGAAACGATGGGGCTCCAGGTGCAAGTAGTGAGAAGGCACGGCCACCAAGGTCAAAGACAGGCAGGTAGAGATGTCAGTCTCAAAGTGTCCCTGAAAGACTGGCACAGTCCAGGATCACCTCACCTCCAAGTCTTGGATGTCCGCTTGAGCCAAAACTTGAGCCACTATCACCTTCCTCCCTCCCTGGGGCCGCTGCGAACCAGTGCGGAGTGCACTGACAACTGTAGACTCTAGATGTCTCATGCTGAAGATACAGGTATCAGTTGGCAAACATCGACCCGCATTTCTATCCGAACTGTCCTCTGTCCTTTTGTCGCAATCTTGAAGGTCTCTTGCTTGTCAATCTGTTTACTGTATCAAGTTTAGAATTAGCCAGTGAACAACCTTTGTTGTTTCTAGCTACTTAAAGCACTGTCACCTATCGGCAAACAGGTTGTCCTCCGAGCAGGTTCCTTCTGAAGGCTTCTGCTTCGACTTCGTTCTTACAAGTAGTTCATGCTGCATGAATCTAGTTGAGCGCTCTCTCTTGTCGTTTGTTGGAACTTCGACAGGGAGCAGTGTCGTTGAGGCTCAAAAGAGAAACAACTCAGATTTGGCAGCAGCCAAAGGTTCTGTTATGCTTTGAGCCCTTAAGTCTGGAGCTGGTGATGGATTGGCAATGGAAGTCTCTTCACCAAGATCCTGCGATTTATACTTGCCTGAAGCCCGAAGTGCATCAATGCGCGTAGAAGATGCTCAAAGTGTATGTGGAGAGACCAAGGTTTGGCAATATTGAGGAGATCTGGCACTTCTTGGCAACCTTTTACTCTAGACTCTATATAGAGCTATTTTCCTTGTGGATTGTTTGGCACCACCGGATTTGGTCAAGCAGTCCCACATCGTTTGCATGGAACTTTCAGTTCTAGTTCTAGATGTTTATTTTTTCAGCGTGATGTTTGCTGTCTGACAAGCTTGTCTCTTGCCCTCGCTGCATGATTATATTGTAACTAAGTTTTTTGACCACTTGACTTGATTGCCTTGGTAGCTTGACTTTTGTGAGGGTATAGCTCCTGCTTGTGCCTGTTTTGTCGTGCACAGTATTTTCTATAGATGTTGTTCATGAGATATTTGTGCTCTAAATGGCCTGATGCGTTGCAACCCCTGACGCTTCATTCCAAAGATCAGAAGCAGAGCGTCCAGTCTCAGGATGAGGCGATGTGGGAACAAGACCCAGTTAGCAAAGAACCTTGGCGTCAAGACCAAGCCTTGGAGTCTGAGAGCTTGCAAAGATTAATCAAAGATTAGATATGATTGATAAATCAGACTGAACACATTGCCAGGACTTGGTTAACAGTTGCCCCTTTGAACTGTATGGATTTGTTCGTCGTTTCGGACCATTGAAACCACCTAGGACCTGGTGATTGAGGATCCTCCGCACAGGCCTCGTGAAAGTCATCCTGTGATCACTGTGGTCTCTAAGTGCCAAATGATGTACAATGGATTCTACGGACGACGTCATCTATCTAGGCGATTTCAGGCTGCAAGAGAATAACAATACCTGACAAACTGATACATCACTGCTGTTTCATTGGCACCTCACAACCAGGGACCAGATGAGTGCAATACCTTGTGCCAGGAGAAGAGAGGTCTCAAGAACTTCTGCCACCTGGGGCTTTTGCTCTTAGCGTCAAAAAGCCCCACTGTAATACACCGACAGAGCGGAAATGGGCCATGCTGAGTGGTTTTTTGATGACAGATGGGTGCCTAAAAATCCCGTGGCCCACTTTTGCTTGCTGAAAGTCTCGATTGATGGATCTCTAAGAAGTGTAACTCTTGAGATCTCCTGAGAGACTCTGTTGTTGATTTGGCGAGGGACTTTCAGTGCGGTGAAGTTAATGCTTGTGCGGCACGTGAACGTCGTGAACGTTCTTGTTTCGCGGCCGCAAAGCCTCTCGGCTACAGCCTGAGATGGCTGAAGTCTCCCAGGTCCCAGATGGGCAAATTGAAGATGGATGCTTTCGCTGTCGGCTCTTGTCGGATGGAATGTTCGGCTGTGTCTAAGGTAGCCAAAATGCATTTTTACCACGGATGGATGGTGATGGTTTGTGTAATTTGATAGCCATGCGCTGCTTGGGCCCAAGTGCCATTCTTTAGGGACAAGCCCAAGTGACTAGCCATCAAAGCCCTAGCCTTCCCCACTCTAAACAAAGCAAGCTGATTCCTCAAGTCAAGATTGTTGTTTCCAACCTCAGCTCCTTGGCCACGCCGGACGGTCAGAACGAGGTTCGCTCCGATCTGAGGGAGTCAAAATGGGATACCACTCAGGAGTTCGGCTGGTGTGTCAGATGTCCCAATTGGTGCCTTTTCCCTCTTCTGCAGGCCGGATGTCCACCAAAAAGAAGGTGAAACTTAGCTTGGTGCCCAAGATTTGGCAGGAAAGCTACAGGTTAGACATCTTTCTGCCCGTGGTGCGGACACATGATATGTTTGACCAGGTCAAATTGAAGCAGATCCGGAAGAATTCGCCCTGAAAGTGCTCCTTTGGTGAGTAGCAGACCGGCTGGAGGTCATGTCATTCACGGTGAAACCATGAAATTGCAGCTTTGCTTTGTCTCTGAAATTGACCGGCAGGTATCATACGTGACTGAAATACATCACTTTGACGACTATGGGAATCCAGCACTCCTTCCACGTTTTGCCGGAGTGTTGCACTGGATGTGATTTCAGTTGCGGAACTGCCAGATCAAAGCGGAGTCCCAACCTGGTCACAAAGTGGTCCGCGTTCCGCGCGGGTTGCAAGGACAGCTCCTTCAAGGTCATTTGGTCCATGCTGATGTGTTTTACCATGATGTACTGAGCACTGCAAACTCCCACGTGTAAGGACCTGAGATTCAAGGCCTTGCACAAGAAGTAGTGGAGAAATGTCGGAAGTACATCCCACCATCAAAGGTGGGCTCAGAAGAGACACGCCGCAAGTTTGCCGTCAAGCTGTCACTTGCTATGACACTTTGTAGCTGTGTGGAGACCAAGCCGTCTAAGGAGATTTTTTGACTCTTTCAGAGTTTGAAAGCATTGGCTCTCCGGTCTGGACGTTTACGAAAGGTAGACTCAGCTCCCTGAGCTCTTCTTGCTTGGCAATTGTACTCCTTAACATAGCAGCCTTCTCACTTTCGTCTCCATCCTTTTCCGTTTCCATGCGCACTGATGGTCACGCATCCTTACATAAATCGCTGGGAAATCTTCATTGATTCATGCATCCTCATCGTCCACTCTAACTCACATTCTCATCCTCTTTCTCGTTTTCGCCTCCACTATCCTCTTCTTCCATCCCAATCCTCAGACACCGTCAGATAATCCGTGGGACGTGTAGGACATGTTACTGTGAGTCATGCGGGGAAAGAGAGGAACGGGAGGAAAAGCAGGAGGTAAAGGAACGGCAGAAGGAACTTGCTTTTTAGCTTCAAGATTCCAGCGAAAACAAGGTGATGGCCAATACAAGAAGAAGAGTGCAAAATACTGCAGGCATACAGATTGCTCACGGGCACGACAATCACATTGCAGCGATTGCTTATCCTTGGGATGAAGTAAATATATGGATCATAGAAGCACCCGTTTTCTGGTTCCGTAGTGTTTCGGCTCTTCTATGACGTGCAGGTTTTGGTATCAAGTCGAGTTCCTGCTTACTCGATGAATCAGTTGATCGAGTACCTCAGCCAGGTGGCCAACAGCATCGAGCTTAACTGCGAGCTGTTTGAGGAGCAGCGCAGGCAAGACTGGTGGATGAGCACGGGGCACCTGTCCCTGGAAAAGAGAAAGAAATTGAGAAGCTCAACAGTCCGAAGGAAGAGGAGAGGGCGCCTTTGGCTCGAGGACATTGCCAAGGACAACACCCGGACGCACCAGCGGGTGAAGTCAAACCGTCGTCCAGAGGAAAGCAAAAGAGGAAGTCAAAGAAGAGCGAGAAGCCGAGGTCGAGGTCAAAAGTTGAAAAGCATCGTCCTATTCTTTGGATCCCCGCCCCCGGGTGTAAAGAATAGAAGTACCCGTTAACACCGGCTCTTCCCGCCGCTCCCACCCTTTTAACACCGGGAAAGAGAAGGAGGAAAGGAGATAAAGAAACCTTCCTGCTCCAGAAAGCTGTAAAAGACTTGGAAAGAGAAGCAAAGAATTCCTTGGGGCCTGGCCAGGGTGAGGGGTGTGGCCCCCCCTGGTCAGGGGGGAATTAGGTCATCCAGAATGTTCCCTTCCTTGAGTTGTGGACCGAGGAAGGGGGGGATGGCCAACCCGGTATCTTTTTATGGGAGTGTTTCCAATCATCTTTTAATCTTTTGACAACCTTGCTGCAGAGCGGACTAGGAAAAGGTGCTGTCTCTATTATATATATCCACAAATATATATATATATAATATATTATCTCTATATATATATATATATATATGCGCAGCATGCGTTTTCAAGTTGGGAAGCAGGGAAAATGAGTGAAAACACACCAATGGAGTTGAAAGGACATGTAATGGACGAAAAGGATATGAAAGCAACCGGCAGCAAGTTCAAAGACATGATGGAAGTGGAAACAAATGACCGTACACGAAGCGATCATGAAGGCCAGACCTGAAAGGTACCGGGTTTGTTTGCCCTCAGGTCCCTTCCAATAGAGCAAAAGAAAGAGGCAAAGGAAGCAAGAAAAGGAATAGGAAGACGAAGAGGAAAGAAAAAAGTGGAAAGACCAGGATGAAGTGAAGGGGTAGACGAAGACGACAAGGAAAAGGAATATTCTGAGAGCGGGGGGAGCTAAGCTGCTACAACACATAAGCAACATAAGTGACATATCCACAAACCACACTGGCGCTTTGGCCGGTGGAATTGTATCTTCGCTCCCTGTCGTCGTCATGCATCAGCATCCTCCTGTCATGTTTATCGCTCTCATCCTCATCTTTCCTAAGAAAAAACAAAAACCAGGAATAATTCCGTGACAAACATCTTTATTATCATCAACAACAACACTGCTGCTGAGAACACCTTTTTTCTGTAGTACATTTGGGGGTGCTGCCATCCTCCTTGTCGCATGCATTCGCTGGAATTATTAATCCCCTCCCCGATGCAACAACCAACTTTTCGTCCACCCACCTTCGCTCAAGTTTGACAACCGAGCTCTGTGGCCCTAAGCATTTGCGAGGTGGGCGAAGTGGAGGAGTTGCTCTTCGCCTTGGCCGAACACGAGGCTCGATGATTCCGATCAGTTGGAGTCAAGATTTTTTTCAGCATGAAACATTCAATTCTTATCGAAAGAGCACTTGTTGGGGTAGTTAAGTCTAAGATCTAAGGCACCACTTAGGAACTCCTTGGGAAGGCGATTTTTGGATGAGCAAATAAAGGAGCAAACACGGGGAAGGAATGAAGAAGCTGAGCTTATCTCTCAGCAGGGTTCGCCGACTCCTGCCGTGCTGGCTGCATAGGCAATGCAGCGGCAAGGAGGTCGGGGGCAGGCGAGCTGAGCTTGGATTGGGTGGGCTGACCCCGTGGCCAGATTTGCATTGCAATGGATGTTTCATCACAAGTAGAAATCATAGGCACTGAAGACTGTGAATTGTGTTTGAGGAACAAAAAGGGTGGACCTCCATACGCAGATGTAGATGCATCAGAATCCCAGCTGCCACACGTTTACCCCACATTACTCCACTATTCGATTCCAAGGTTTTCAGAACTATTAAGCCAAGCAAAACATAAAAGATGATCCAAGGCGATACGACAAAGGAAGGACGTCACAAGGAAAATGATGGTTGATCCAACCATTTCAGCAAAGCATGTTTTATCAACAGAGGCTTCGGCGGGCCAGATTCCAACCGACAAGTGCAAAAACACCAATTCCATGGAAGAAACTCTTTCAAGAGCCGTGTTTCTTCTCCAAGAAGCGTAAAACAAGAAACACGGATTGCGGGCAGAGGCCCAGCGGGACTCGGGGGAAGGAACCTCCGCCGCCGCCTCCACCTCCACCTCCACCGCCAAAGCAGCGGCGACAGGTCGGAAGTGGGAGGGTAACAGAGACACTTAGGAACAAGTGCATCGCTACTAGCAACAAGTGCCACGCTACTAGTAACAAGAAGCTACTAGGAACAAGTGCCTTACTAGTAGTAACAAGAAGCTACTTGTCATCATCGATACGTTGTTTGTTTGGGACTTTCCTACCTTCCACACCTTCCACACCTTCCACACCTTCCACCAATAAATAGGGTTCGCAGCACTTAATGGAACCGAGAGACGATGTAGATTTTGTGGGTGTTGATTTCACTGATTTCCTTCAGGAAGCGCTACTTCCTCAAGCAGACGTGCGTCAGATTGAGGACTACGCGGATCAACTTTATGAGGACCTTGGTGGGTTTGCATACTGTGTGCTTAAAGATGGCTATTGTTAATTTTGACAACTGATGTGGGTTTTCGTGGGCTTCTTCAGGACCGGATGGAGCTCAAGGTTCATGGTGTGAAGTGCATCTTAAGAGTATGCACCGAGGCCTCCATTAATCAGAAGGGCGGCCGCGAATGTGAGAAATCTTTGGGCATGTCAAGCACAGAACCTTGCCAATGAACATGTTGCCCCAAAGCTCCTTGCCTGTGATGTTCGCAAGTGCAGACATCAGCAGAAACGAAAACACAAGAAACAGAGACGAAATAAGGAAGGCAAGAGAAGCAAGTGGAGTACTCCAGCTAACGCAAAGAATCGCCCCCGAAACCCGCAGAGTAGCCTGATGATCAGAACGTGTTGAGCTCATGTAACACAGCTTACCGTTCTACCGAAGGCTTGCTTCCGCCCGCACATACGGCTTTAGAACAGTGTTTTCCATCACAACAAGAAGCTACTAGGAGCAAAGGGCATTGAGGAGCAAGGACGCTACTAGGGGCTCCTGGCATCGCTACTAGGAGCATTACTCTCCAGATCTCTTGAGGAGATTTTTAATGACCCTATGCCTCAGCCCTCAGTTGATCGAGCAGTTCTCTCCTTGCAAGGTGGCAATTCCTTCATCTCATTTCTAGTTCTCCCGTTTCTTATTGTGTGAATAGATACAGTAATAGATTTGTTGATCAATGCGGATCCACTTTTATCAAGCTGCCCTTGCTTGTAGGCACAGGAAAGTGCTCCAGCCAAGAACCTAGCCCCCAAAACCAAGAACACCGGCGTTTTGAGCCTTGCGTTTTTGGTCTTTTGACCTGATGTAACGTTGTTTTATGTGACCTCACAACAGTCATGACTTACCGGGGAGGTTGGGGATTGGGTGGGGGTAATGATGCGTCAACAGATCCTTGTTTGATGCACTTCATCACTTCATTTTCATCTTTGTTTCATGTAATGTTTAATTCGTATTAAGCAGGTCATCCTCGATTATAAATTCAAGCCTGCCAGAAATCCTGATTTTCATTGCGCCCCAGAATCCTATTTTTCCCGAATGCGTAGCGAAGGGTTCTCGTTTAACTCTTGGGGGTCTGGGGGTAGAGCCTTTTTCGCGACCCGTTGCTTCTATGTTCGCAACCGTCCGCAACCGTTCGCAACCGTCCGCAACCGTTCGCAACCGTCAGTCCGCAGTAGAGCGCTAAGGCGCTGCCATTGGGGGAAGCTTTTGCAAGTGACTTTTCATGGATGTGTCACGTGTCAGTTTGCGCCGCTATTCCATTGTGATTTGCATGAAAAAGACATGTCGCGCAAGCAACGTGATGCGTTTCGCTGCACAGGCGCAGCGTTTGGTGAGATCTGCAGATTGCTGCGCAGTTCCATTGGGATTAGCATTTGGAGAGTCGTGTTTTTGGGGTGTTGGATGTGGCCGTGCCATTGGGATTTGCATTTCAGGGTGTGGCATCGAAGCTCTGTTTTCGTGACAAGTCTCAGCTGAAATGCCGATTTTGGTGGAGGGGAGTGTGCTCAGAACGGGTCGAAATCATTCCAAACGTGTGGTGTGGTGCAAATTTTGTGGAAGCTCACATGAGATGACATTGTTACTTTTCGTGGCAGGCGCAGGACTTTGTGCGGGCTTTGAGGTGTGGAAGTGGGATTTTCGTGGCAGGCGCAGGGAATCGTGAGGTTGCGATGTGTGACGGAGGTGACATTTCGTGGCAGGCGCAGTACTTTGTGCGCGTTAGACGTGTGGACGCGGAAAGATTCGTGGCAGGCGCAGGGAATCGGGAGGTTGTGAGTTGTGGTAGAGGTGAATGTCGCTGTCACATTGGGATTGGCGTGTGAGCGGGTGTCGTTTGGAGGGGCTGGAATCGCGAAACTGCTTGGCAGGGCTGCGTGATGTGTGTGCTCCGATGAGTGTTTCCGCTGGACTTTTGGAGGAAGTCTCGTGCGAAACGTTCGTTTTGCAGACTTTGACATGTGAGTTTTTGAGGAAGTCTTGTACGAAACGCTCGTTTTGGGGACTTGACATGTGACTTTTGGAGGAAGTCTTGTACGAAACGCTCGTTTTGGAGACTTGACGTGTGACTTTTGGAGGAAGTCTCGCACGAAACGCTCGTTTTTGAGACTTGACGCGTGACTTTTGGAGGAAGTCTCGTACGAAACGCTCGTCTTGCAGCCTCGCAGCGTGACTTTTGGAGGAAGTCTCGTACGAAGAGTGTGCCCTACAGGAGTGTCCCACAAGAGTGTCCTACAAGAGTGTCCCACAAGAGTGTCCTACAAGAGTATCCCACAAGAGTGTCCCACAAGAGTGTCCCGTATGAGTGTCCCACAAGAGTGTCCCACGAGAGTGTCCCGCATGTCCCACAAGAGTGTCCTACAAGAGTGTCCCACAAGAGTGTCCCGTATGAGTGTCCCACAAGAGTGTCCCACAAGAGTGTCCCACAAGTGTGTCCCACAAGAGTGTCCGACAAGAGTGTCACATAAGAGTGACCCACAAGAGTGTCCTACAAGAGTGTGCAACAAGAGTGTCCCGTAAGAGTGTCCCACAAGAGTGTCCTACAAGAGTGTCCCGTAAGAGTGTCTCACAAGAGTGTCCCACAAGAGTGTCCCGCAACCATGTCGCACAAGAGTGTCTCACAAGAGTTAAGAGTGTCCCACAAGAGTGTCGTATAAGAGTGTCCCACAAGAGTGTCCCACAAGAGTGCCCTACAAGAGTGTCCCACAAGAGTGTCCTACAAGAGTATCCCACAAGGGTTTCCTACAAGAGTGTCCTATAAGAGTGTCCCACAAGAGTGTCCTACAATTGTGGGACACTCCCGCAAGAGTGTCCCAAATGAGTGTCCCAAATGAGTGTCCCACAGGAGTGTCCCACAAGAGTGTCCCGCAAGAGTGTCCCGCAAGAGTGTCCCACAAGAGTGTCCCACAAGAGTGTCCCACAAGAGTGTCCCGCAAGAGTGTTCCAAATTAGTGTCCCACAGGAGTGTCCCACAAGAGTATCCCACAAGGGTGTCCTACAGGAGTGTCCCACAAGAGTGTCCCACAAGAGTGTCCTACAGGAGTATCACACAAGAGTGTCCCACAAGAGTGTCCCACAAGAGTTTCCTACTAGAGTGTCCCACAATAGTGTCCCACAAGAGTCCCACAAGAGTGTCCAGTAAGAGTGTCCCACAAGAGTTTCCTACACGAGTGACCCACAAGAGTGTCCCACAAGAGTGTCCTACAAGAGTGTCATTTGGACATATGTAGCTTTTTGAACGTGTTTGCATTCGGGTTTGTGGGCTCCATTGTTTATTTTTTAGATATAATAACTATAAAATTCAGGTCCCAGATTCCACCCAAAAGCGCAAGACAACAATACTGCAGATTCCTTTACAATCATACTCACAGAATCTCTCAGGACTATTATTGGCCCCCAAAACCTTCGAACAAAGAAGGCAATTGGAGAGACTACCCCCCTTTGCCTTACGAATCTCAAATTACTCCATCTTGGGGCATGATGGTGATACAACTTCGGCCTTGCCAAAATCCATCCAAAAATACACCTCCAACCCAGTGGCCCTGCAGCCGAGCAAGAATCAACGCAGCAACCACCCCAAAACACAAAAACTACTCCAAAACGCTCTCCCCAGTGGCCCTGCAAGCACGACATAACGAAAAATCATCCAAAAATGTACCTTCAAAACGCTCTGCCCGGCGGCCCTGCAGCTGAACCATAGCCACGCACGCGCGAAAAAAAGGTCTTACGGCTGCGTTGGAGCCATCTTGGGGCCAACTTCGTCTACCTTGGGGCATGATGGTGATACAACTTCGGCCTTGCCAAAATCCATCCAAAAATACACCTCCAAGGCGCTGTCCCCAGTGGCCCTGCAGCCGAGCAAGAATCAACGCAGCAACCACCCCAAAACACAAAAACTCCTCCAAAACGCTCTCCCCAGTGGCCCTGCAAGCACGACGTAACGAAAGATCATCCAAAAATGTACCTCCAAAACGCTCTCCCCGGCGGCCCTGCAGCTGAACCATAGCCACGCACGCACGAAAAAAAGGTCTTACGGCTGCGTTGGAGCCATCTTGGGGCCAACTTCGTCTACCTTGGGGCCCATAATGGTGATACAACTTCGGCATTGCCAAAAGCCATCCAAAAACACACCTCCAAGACGCTTTCCCCAGTGGCCCTGCAGCCGAGCAAGAATCAACGCAGCAACCACCGCAAACACAAAAACTCCTCCAAAACGCTCTCCCCAGTGGCCCTGCAAGCACGACATAACGAAAAATCATCCAAAAATGTACCTCCAAAAAGCCGCGCACGCGCGAAAAAAGAGGCCCCCCCCTAGCAGAGCTATATGCATAGGATGTTTTTGCTAAAAACTCGACGGCAAGAGCCCCAATAGCACGCCCTGCGCCGACAAGCGGTGTGGGCGGATTTATGCATGCTTCCTGACAGTGCGCCCCAAGCACCTTCCATTCTGTGGGACTTGTTTTGGACATCCACAACAGTTGGTCCTTCTTGTCCCAAACACGTTATCCAACCTTGCTTCTCAGTCAGTTTCATTCGTTCCTTGCTTTCTCACCTGCCGCGCAGCCCACCAGCCTGGAGCTCTTGGCAGACCATGAGAACTTGCTTCAGGCCCAGGAAAGTCGAAGTGATGGCCTATGTAGCAAGAAGCTACTAGGTTGGAGGCCATCACTACTAGGGTGGAGGCCAATACTAGTAGTAGCAAGAAACTACTAGGATCAGTGCCAGCACAATCGAGGGGGTCGCTGGAAAGTCACGTATTGCAGGTGTCGAGACCCTGATGGTTTGTTATCAAGGCTGCTAGGTGGGTGGAGGTCAATCAAAAGCAACCTATTGGCAATGTGAATCCTACAGCCCCGACTTGCGATTGATCCGTGGCTCATGTTGCAATCCCGAAGTCTTCTTTGGTTTTTGGTTGCCCCCAAACGGGAGGAAGCAGATCTCAGATCATTAAGCCCGAGTCCTTCTGCGTCCAAGCCTGGTTCGTAGCTTCCTTGCTTCCTTGCTACTGCTTACCCCTCACTAGTAGCTAGTGAAGCCTACTCCAACCTCCACCCTTGGCCCCTCAGCCTAAAGAAAAAGACAAAGAAAAGGGAAAAAAACCATGCCAGGTCTTGAGCCGAGAACTTCGGGAGAACTCAAAGAAGAGCTTCGACTTGTCCGTGGCGGCGGCCTCCCGGGCAAAGCTTTTCTGCTCGCTTTTGCCGCTGGTTCGGGGGACTCTTGTATCATGATCTTTGCATCTGCTGCATGTTCTCGGCTCATGTGTTGGAGCGTTTTGTCATCATTTTTCTACGTTGGGTTGGAGTTGACCGACGACTCTTCACACCTTGCAAGAATCTATCCCCCAAGCTTGCAGTGAAAGGACTTCGCACTTCCGACTTCCGGTGATACTTACAAATCTACACACTTTCAAACCTTTCAGCCTTTTCGACCCTTTTCTTTGTCAATTCACATGGAAGCTCGATAAGTAAGACCCTGGAATCCCTGCAGTTGCAGTCTTCAGAGAAAGCGAGCAGGTTTTCTCTCTTTTTTAAATCTACACTTGAACTTCAAGACTTGCTGACGGGAACGTACGGTGCGTCGTGCCCCATCTGCAGCGTGCGAACGCCCCGCCCCATTGGCCTCAATGGTGCGAACGCGCCGGCCGAGAACCAGAAGGCACCTGGAGGAGAGTCAGAACATAGGTCAACCAGGTTTGGGTGCTCAGTAGCTTGTAGAGCCCAACGGACCGCTTTTGCTTAGCATGGGGTTGTTTGGGGTTCAAATTGTGCACTGGCCATAGGTGTGCAGGTGAGGATGGACCTGAGGTATGAATGCCAATCTGGGTCCAGGTTCAAAGTTGCACACTGCTGGGGTGATTTGCAGGGTTTCACGTCCTGGGCTGCTGGGACCCAGTGCTACAGTAGATGGAAAGCATCACTCCCTTGCCAGACATGTCTTGTTGGGCTTAAACGGGTATATAGACTGAAACCATCTGAAACCTGTGTGCTGTCAGAGTCTGCACAGTCGCGCAGTCCAATGTGTGATCTTAGGTCAAACGTAGAAAGACAAGCTGTTTCAAGGAGCACCTCATGCACACTTGGGACTGCACGTACTGCCTGCTTAACCCAAAGAAGGATGGAACGGAGCGTCAGAGTGGGTCCCAAATAATGAAACCTTGCCGAAGGGGGTCCATTTTCTGCAGGTAACTTGATGCCATCATGTGTGCTGGTGATCCTGGTCCTCAGCCGGCCCCTCAAGCACTGCAATTTTTGGCAACCCTTTCCTAAAATCCTTTATAGTCTTTAATACGTTAATACAATGTAGCTTTTCAGTCCGCGCGTGAAATTATGTCTCCTAAAGTGAACTTGGAGATTAAACAGTTTGTAAATTCAAAGTGTACAATACAGTGTGCAAGCTTTGGCGGGACTCGCTATAACCCCTAATTTTGGCTTGGCAAGTTTTGATGCGCCTGGTTTGCCTATGTTGAGGACAAATTCGATTGGCATTCATCATTGGTTGAGCTTTGAGCATCTTTGCCGGGGATTGTGATAGCAAGACCTGTAGTTGCTCGTTGTTCAGAGGGTGCTGTTCGAAAGGTTGCAGAATTCCAGGCAGTATGAAACTCTGTGGTTGCAGACACGAGAATCAAAGGGTTTCTTCTTCCTTTGGTCTTGTCCACGTAAGAAAGACAAAAAGCAATCTCTAGGTTGGTGATGGGTTGTCCTTCTTGCCTCCATTTCGTTTTCATGCAGTTTCAAGCAGTGCTCTTTCGGCAGAATGGCTTCATGATGAGATTGCATGTCATTATTTTGAGCAGTCAGGTCTGCAGCAAATCGGCGCAGACTATGACCCAGTGAAGAAGGTTGAGCATGCCCGACTTTATGGGTGGGCCTCTGAAAGCCAGCTGCAGATCATGATGAGATTCACAGATTGACAGGTGACATGAAGCAAGGCAGACTACAGGCAGACTATAGGCAAACAGCTGTTTTTCTTCATGAAGTGACCTTTGAAGCCAGGCTTGACACATCCTTTCACTGTTTTCTTTCACCAATTTTTTCACCAATCCGTTCATGCTTTTAGACAAGCAGTCATCTTCGCTGTTCTTACACGATTGTCCAACGTCCTGTGACATACGGGCTGAGGAATGTGGACCACTATGCATACTACTTTGCTCCTCTCCAAGACTTGCCAAGACACGGCAAATAGACTTGCATCGATGACACTGAATTTGGAGTAGACTGAGTAAACTTCGGAAATTGATGAAAGGGACATTTGTCTCATGCTTTGCAATTCTCATCCTATGATTTACACCTCTGTTGTGGTCGAGGTCGACTTGGTGGTGGGCACTCCTCCGCAGAGGGTCTCTGTCATCCTAGACACTGGCAGTGGGGTGGGGGTGCTTATTGTTGGATGTTGGTCAGACCTCAGAATCTCCAAAAAAGTTCCACAGTCCAGACACCAACTCTTTTTTCAATTGTTTCTTCAGCTGGGCAGGACTTGATTTCTTCTTCTACTTCCTCCTCCTCCTCCTCCTCCTTCTTCTTCTCTTGCTTTCTCTATTGCGCGATCGGAGCAACTGGAAGTCTCTGGAAGTCTGCTAGGTGGCTGCATATCCTTGCGCCAACTGTGGGCATTGCCAGAACCTTGACACTGCAGTTTTGAGTTTTGTCAGGCTTGCCAATTTGCCAGCAATCTCTTGCAGAAACAGAACCGGGGTTTCAGATGCAGGATCATTTGCTGAGGGCTCACGCCACCTATGTAAAGCCTTGTGAACATGTATAGAGTGGTTTGCCAATGTGAGGTGGGCCGCATATCGACCCAGCGTGAACTCCTTAGAACGATGGACTGACCTTGATTATCTCTGAGTTTTGCAGGAGTATTTTTTTGCACTCATTTTTTTTATTCACGTCGCTTCGCGACGGTAACCGCCCGCACCGCATGGAAGGGGACAATATATCCACCGAGCCCTGGAAGGAAGCCCGGCAGTAAGGAACACGAGCTGGAAGGGGGTCTTGTGCTCTTGGAGCCAACGGAATCAGTATGAAAGGAGGTGCCCGACATAGCGTCCATATTGTCGGCCCCAGAACGGCCCCCCCCCCAACGTGGCTGAACATAGCTTCCATATTGCCTGGAACGTCGCAAATATAAGGTTCAACTGGAGCAGAGAGAAGCAGAGACAAAGTGTAGGAACGATAACAGCTTCAGAAGATTTTATCTTAGGAATTTGAATGAGGACTCAAAAGGGGTTGTGCGTGTCGGGTAAGCTTCCGGAAGGGAGACGATCTGGAACGGGTGCTTGTGCTCTTGGAGCCAAGGGGTACAGTATGAAAGGAATATTGTTCGGACACACGCAATGGAAACCGACGTTCAAGTCCCTATCTCGCAGACACGTCCATTAGATGGTGACTTCTAGCGCTCTGTAGGCAATATCTTCACTCTATTCCAATCCCTTTGGAGCCTTCGTTAGACCATGTTTACGACGTTCAAGTACCTATCTCGAGGAAGCATACTTAAGATAGGGACTTCTGGGGTTATGTTCGACCTTATGGGAGTTATGCTCGTGAGATAATGTTACCGTTCCTGGACCTGACCTGCTTCTCTCTGCTCCTGACCAGCCACGTTCCCGGACGTTCAAGTCCCTATCTCGCAGACATGTCCATTAGATAGTGACTTCTAGGGCTATGTTACGTACCAGTTTACGACGTTCAAGTCCCTATCTCGCAGACACGTGCTTTAGATAGTGCCTTCGAGCGCTCGGTTAGGCAATATCTTCACGCTATTCCAGTCCCTTTGGAGCCTTCGTTAGACCATGTTTACGACGTTCAAGTACCTATCTCGAGGAAGCATACTTAAGATAGGGACTTCTGGAGTTATGTTCGACCATATGGGAGCTATGCTCGGGAGATAATGTTACCGTTCCTGGACCTGACCTGCGTATCTCTGCTCCTGACCAGCCACGTACCCGGACGTTCAAGTCCCTATCTCGCAGACATGTCCGTTAGATAGTGACTTCTAGGGCTATGTTACGTACCGCTCAGATGATTCAGCTGATGCAGATGATGCAAAGCAGAAAATTGCATTTCTTGCATCCCTAAAGGCTTCAAGATAACAAACATCAGCACGAAAGCACTTTCAGCCGGTTCCAAAAACGTGAAGAAACACAGGATTCTAGAGCGAAAATGGCCCCCCCCCCCTAGCTAAAGCTATCAGTACTACTTAAATTTAGTTGTTCTCTTCTGGTCTTCAGACCTATTTGGAAGTTTTGATTTAGACCTTTCCTTTTCCTTTCTTTCTAAGATATTGCGAGGCTTTTGCTTCTACTCCGTTTTGTATCTTTGCTTGCCACATGTTTTGTCGCCAGAATCTGGCTCAGGTTCGACATTGGGAAGAGCAGCTCTGCTCACTGGATTCAGTGTGTGGCAAATCGCTGCCCAATTGGCCGATGCTCGTGGCAGTCTCAATTGATTTCTCCAAACCATGTCTGAGAGTTGCATTAGATTCATGGCGTAGCTCCCAATGCAATACGACACGAGTCTCGTTCAACTAGGTCAGGGAAATGTTCCTACTATCAAGGTGCACCAAGCTTTTCATACTTCCTCAGTTGGATGATCACAATGCTTTTGTGCTGTCAACCAATCTCTGGCACATCAGCTTGGAGGCTACACCGAAGGGTCTTCAATTTCCGGATTTTGGTTTGAGGAGCCCCTGGTTTTTGCTTGTTGCTTTCGATGATTTGGTCAAGAAGTGTATCCAGGACATGGTGAGTCTGGGCGACATGATCCAACACAATCCCCAAGTCAAAGCCAGGCAGGATGGGGTCAAGAGTTTTGAACAGCCAGTAATATGTCCACAGATGAACAGATTTTCGTCATTTCAAGAGAGACTCAAATTCCAGCGGGAGATGCTTGCACTGTGCAGCTTTTAGGATGGGTTGTCATTCGAACGAGAACAACTTGTTCTACACCCAGAAGGCAAGGCATTCGTGGGGAAGGGAACACGCATTCGATGACAAACTTGAGGCTAAACTTTCAGCTTGGGTTGAATTTGAGGTCTTTTTCCTTGACCAATCTTGACCCTGGACCTAAAGCCTGTAGCCTTCCCGCTAGTTCACAGTTCGCGTTTCTCTCGTAGAACAGCTAGCGCCATCGTCATGCTTTGTGCCGGCCTGTTTTTTGGTCACACCGGT